TTCTCACCACTTACAACAATCAACACTCATCTGTGTTTAAAGAATTCCCTTCCTTTAGTCCACTGCTCTTCAAGGTAAAAATCAGGAACTTACTCCTCCAACCAATTCTGCAGCTAAGGTACAGTCACATGACCTGAGTTCAGATCATCAGCCCCCTCAATGCAAAAACCCAGGTACCACCGAGCCCCAACAGGCTGGGTTGGAGGTAATCCCCCACACAGCAGTAGTAGCAACTCTAGTTTAAGCATCCACTGTGTAACATTGGCCTATTGAGTTTTGCTATCTGTGCCAAGCCAAAGGGCAGGAACAATGGTATCCCTCTTGGAACAGCTCTGTCCTGTGCATTAGAGACAATTCCTGCAATGGAACCTCCAAGCCAAGGAGAGATCCTCCCAAAGATGGCACTATGAGATGGAACAAACCCCTTTTCTGAATCAGTGGGTCATGGTGGGTTTGTGCAGAGTTCTGAACAAGCTACTTAATCACTCTGTTTCCCCATCTGTAAAATTGAAAATGGTAATACCCAAGATTGTTTTAAGGATTAGAACTAATGTGCATAAAATACTTATCCTCTCAAGAGCTCAAAAGGTGGTAGATATCACCTTCGTTATAAGGAACAGTGGTGCTCTACTCGTGTGACTCTACACATGACTCAGGTGAAAGACTCTCAGTGGCCTTTACAATTGAGCATCTCAGGGCCAAGTACTGGTAAACAAGAAAGAAAAAAAAAAAAGAATTTATAAATGGTACCTTCGGGTCCAGGATTGTTCCAAACACCAGGATGAAGAAGCCCTGTGAAAGATAAAAAAGGAAGGAGAAGCCATTTACAAAATGATAATAATAAATACTAGTATTTATCATTCCACCACTATTTGGGTAAAAAGAAAACAATTTTATTCAATCTTTTAATTTCCTATTTTAAGATCCTAATTTCCTATTTTATGACACTGTGAAACCTCAGCAAACCAAACAGAACAAGGTCCCTGCTTCATACAGGAATATTTGAAGGATTTTTTAAGGTGAGCAAAATAAAAGTGTTTAGAATTTAGCAGAGGCTATTCCTCTTATTGGAATATAATGTTCCAAGAAAAAGTTAGGCAATGGACGGTGAGCAGCCTTGCAGTCCCTGAACAATAAGTATTGAAAGAAACTTCCACAACAAAGAGCAAAAAGAAGTGTACTTAGCTTCCCAGGACACACTCAAACTCCTTCTACCATCCACAGCAAAGAATATTACAAAACTTTGCAAAGAAAAACCAAATATATGTATACTCAGAAAAATTAATAAATCATAAAATAGATTTACTTTCTAACCATATTGTAGCTGCTCCAAAGAAGATAAAATAGAGGGAATTGATTGGTTCTTCAATCTCCTACCATCCATACAAGAGGAGGATCCCATAAAACGAAAAACAGATTGTTCCTTTGCAGTTTTAGTCCCTGGACAAGGAAGGATAGGGAGTAGTCCCATTTTTCAGATAAGGAAAAGAAAGCTCAGACATTCCACTTTCATTAAGTGATAGAGATATCCATTGGGGGGGGAGAGTTTTCTTGAGTGTTCAATTACTTACACTATGGATCAAAAAGGGAAGTGAGATAATGACCTTTTCTTTAGGCCTCCTTATGAAGTTGCTCCAATTTCATAAGTAAATACAAACTCAGTCAGAAGCCTGTTAAGGCTCATGGGTTTAACACAACTGGCACCATAAGGATGTTAGAATCAGATTCATCAGTGAGAATAACACCCAACCTACAGCTAACAGTTTGGTAAAAGTCCACCTGAGAGATGGAGGACTTTACAGGAACAGGTGTATAGCCACACAGCTCATTCATTCCCCCAAACATATATACCTTTCCATCCAGTCTGTCCAACAAACATTCAACACCTTGCTCCACACATAGCTTTTATCAGATTGCTCTTTTGTGTGACACTCTTAGCCAACAAGATAATTATTGAAACCTGTCATTGTTTCTACTAAAATAAAGTCCTCTGGACTACAAAGTATTATTCTTAAAAAGATGCTTAGGACAAATACGTGTCCGCCTGATTTTGGTGCTAGGAATACATTTGGAATCAGAATCTAAATGAGGCTGGCTCAGAAATTTAAAATGTTAAAGATCTGGAAACCACCATTCTAGCATGTTTCTGCTTAGAATCTGCATTCTTTGGCTAAAGGACTAAGAAGAGTTTCTCTCCTCATAAGATTTTCAATTCCTTAGGGTTGACCTATTTATATTTATATCCACAACAGGTAGCACAATGACTGACACAAAATAAATACTCAATAAGGATGGTGTCTCTGTACTGAGTTTTTATGTGTTTAATAACTTTATGGTACACTCTGCCCCTGTATAGCCACAAATATGTAAAGGAAACGTTCAATTAAAATCACTTTTCATTGGTTTGTGCCCCTTGGGGAAAGTTACCTAAAATGTCAATGAGAAGATTTAGACAAAAGATTAGTCATGAAGTTTAATATCTGAAGGAGAAGGGATGAGAGAATGTACCTAATAAGAATTTATCAGCTGCATCTTTGCATTTCTTTTAGTAGATAAAACACAATTTGAGCAAGTAAACCCCAAGGTGTTCCCCCAAGTTTTAATATATGTGCTGTATATTTCTCCTACTAAAACAGCTACAAGGGGTCCCCAAACCTCACCCAGCCCACAATTACCTCCCATAAATAACAGGAGGGGATACCAATCAGAAGTAACTATGGATCGTTAAGATAGCAGCTAACTACCTAATACACCTCCATAGTAAAGGGGATGGTTAAGCCATTGGAGATACTCCCATGGGGTTGGGACCAGGAAATCTTCAGAAGAGTCTTCCTCACACACGTTCTGGGCCTCCCAGCATATTTCAGAATCTCTTTTCTGCTCTGTCAGCCTCAACTGCCTCTTGTGTCTTCTCATCCTAAGAATCTGTTTCCCTCCTTCTTCCTACCTGGCTTTCTGTGTCTCTCGCCTCATGACTGTTATCTCCTCTCCATGACTGACTCCTCTTCCTCTCCTCCCTTCCTAGGCATCATGAGGATGTATTGATCCAGTGAGATGCTGGTAAATAACTATCAACTCTCCTAATTTGTAGTATTTACCCATCTCTATGGTTAAGTGCTCTCACTGGGGCTGATTAAATCTAGCAATACAATATGGCTGAGCATGAAGGTAGGAAGAAATGGGCAGTAGAACATCATTATTTAGTATTTCCATCATATGGATATAGCAAACCCAAATCAAGAGTATAGTAAAATGTTAGACAAATGATTAGGAAGTGATTAGTCTCAAAGTATGATCTTTGTTTTTAATTTATTTCATTGCACATTTTAATTTTTGCTGAGGATTGCTTTTATAACCAGCTCACAAAATTCCTGAGAATGTGTCAGTTCCCATGAGCCAGAACAAGCCAGCTTCAGCACAGCCCGCCTTCTGCCCTCCCAATGTCTGGCCCTCACCCATGCCCTGCTCTCAGCTCCCCAATGACTTCTACACACGGAGCCCCAAACTGCTCCTGGCCCAGAATCAAGGCAAAAACTGAATGGAAATTTCAATTCATCCTAGTATGACAGGTCAAAGTGCTCACAGACTAGTCCAGAAGAAAAAAATCACAGGTGAGATGGCCCCAAGGGAGACAAAAAAGGAAAGTGCTGTGGGGTGAGACATGAGCTAAGGTCCCTTGGAAGATAGATATGGGATATGCTGAACTGAGACTTGGGAAACTGGGTTCTCACCTCAGTCCTATTTATGACTAGTTTTGTAAACATGTGTAAGGAATTGATAATTACTAATTGCTATACAAATGTACAGTACAATAGTTTCCATAGAAATGTGAGGCATCCTCTGTTATTAACATTGTTCTCATACATTATTTTCAAACCCCTATATTATGCAAAATATCTTATTAGCATAGAAAATTTGTCAAGGATAAAACTGTGAACGTTGTTAGTTCATACAAGATATGAGAGAAGAGAAATCATTTTTAATGCCCTCTATATAGCACAACTTGTTAAAATAAGATGGTTTCCAATGGCAACTAAAAATTCTAAGTGGCAGAAAATATAATAAAAAATTTAATACCTCCAGTTATAACCCTAAATTTTGGGAGAGGTGTTATTGTTTAATTTCTCAACAGTAACAAGTCAGCCTATTAGAAGCCTGCTTGTGATCTTCAGATTATTTTAGTACTTTGATGCTTTCACAATCATGATTTTATTTCCAAACAACTCTATGAAGTGGACAATATTATACCCATTTTATGTACAAGAAAAATATGCTTGAAGAAGTTAAGTAAATATTCCAAGATCTTATTAAACATTATTAGTAAATAGGAGGGTCAAAATTCAAATCCAGGCCTTTCTGGAACAAAGGCTAATTTTCTTACTCAATATGCTATTTAATTGTCTTTTGTATAATCTGATGCCACAAAGTTTTGATGATCACAAAACTTCTTCATATATTCTCTCACTTCAATCTTGAGCAGAAGCATCTGGACTTACCTGGAATGCATTGAGCAGGGAGAAGATAACGTGGAAGGCCAGGGAGCTGTCATCAATGACTGTGGCTATTCCGAATCCCCAGGTCAGACCCAGCAGTGGTGTGAGGATGGCGATGTTCTTACTGATTCTCACAATGGCTCTCACTTCCTGGAACATGGAACTGCCAATGGCAGCTCGCTGAGTCTTGGTGATGACTAGTGTGACCGTGATCAGGTTGACTATCACAATGACCAGAGCTGGGACCACAAAGGCCAAGAGGGCTTTGGTCGTGTCCCAGTTAAGCCAGCAGGCCTCTGGCCGTAGGTAGCCTTTGCCAGGCTCAGTGACAGCAACTGTAATAACAGCAATGACCAAAGGGCACCCATAGCCCACTGAAAAGAGAGATGCCACCAGGACTGACTTAGGCAGTGTATGGAAAACAATCAGAATTCCATAGAGGATGAGGAGTGCCTTGGCAAGCGTCCAGAAAAACACAGACAGGTAAAAGAAATGGACAAAAAATGTTGCTGCTACACACCCATTGTGGTGTGTCATTGAACCACTGAGAAAGGAAGCCACAATGAACCATACATCAGCTATCAGTAAGGTGGCCGCAATGTTAGCGATACACAGGTGGCGTAAGTATGAGATCTCAGTCTTCGTCACTTGACCCCACACCAAGGCCTCGATGGACAAGCAAAGGATTAAGCTGAGAATCGAAATTCCCAGGCCTATGTATGTGATATAAATCAGAGTTGGGCTCTCCAAGGTCTGAGGTGACATAAGAATTGAGAAAGAGGTAAACAACTTGCTTGGCCAACATTTGCAAACAGCTTGCTGGGAGTTTTCTTGAATCATTTTACAGGCCTGCTTGTCCCATCTGCTCTCCAGGGAGTGCCAGCCAACACACTGTGTCTTCCTTTCCTCTGACTTGCTGATCTTTTCGAAAATCAGTGAGATTCTTTTAAGTTCCTTGGGCAAAATGACAGACAGAACAAGCCCATTTGCAGTGACACTTTCCAAAAGACTGGCTTCCAAGATGGCCCCAAGAGTTGGAAATGCAATGCTGATGATCTGAGAAGGGGAAGGCACCTTTTGAAGTTCTTCTTGACTAATCAACACCCTCCCGGTAACTTCATTGCCAGTGTCATTAACTTTCATGGAAAAAGTGAAATTCTTTCCTGTGTTGTCTTCAGAAATGGTGGTGCCCATGGTATGAATGAAGACGTCTGATATGTCAATGGGATGTTTACTTACAAAAAGCTTTCTTGCAAAGGAATTGACTGAGTGAAGCAGAACACAGCTGCTGTTTCTGTCAGGAATGAAGGTCCAGTTTGAAATGCTTTTGCTGTTAAGAATGTGGTTGGCCATGGTGCTGTAACTCTGCCAGTGAAGAACTGGTATTAGTACTGAGCCACTCTCAAACAGCCAATGCATTCAAGATTCACTTTTACAAAGTGTGGTCCTCTGACCAGCAGCACAGGCATCCCTTAAGAACTTCTTAAAGGCAGAGAATCCTACCCCAGATCCTACCCCAGACTTAATGAATCAGAATCAGCATCAGAACAAGATCCCCAGGCAATCTGCTCATTTCTATCATCAATTCCACTTCACAAAAATTACAGTTTGCAAAACTACAATTTGCTTAACCTGTCAAGTACCCATCATGTGATTAAAAACATCTGTTAAATTCCAACTGTTGCAGAATCCTATACAGGAACATAGTAAATGGGAAACTGACCCCAGAGGCTGAAGCTACTTTTTAACTACCCTTTGCTTTGAACAAAAGAAACAGATCCAGTTCCATTTCAACATTTCTGCAGAGAATATGGCTATTTTCTTGGCATTCCATTATTTTCTGTTTTAGTAACCAGCTCTAACTCACAAATAAAAGTAAGAAAGATGTTTCTCTCTGCCAAAGCTAGAATGATTCTTAGAGGTTTACAGCAGCCAAAATTGGAAAAGCAGACTCCAGTGTCCACCACAGTCCCAAGTAAGTGCAGTCTATAAATGTTTGTTAATTCAACAAGTTATTCATTCTTTCTGTCTTCATTGAGAGTTTACTGAGCACTTGCTATGCTAGACACTGGAAATACTGAGGTGGAAGAGTCTTCAGTCTCCAGGAAGCTCAGAGAATACTCCAAGTAACCTAAATTCCTTTTCCATGTAGACAGTGCTCTACTAAATATCCAAGGCCACTCACCTTCATCTTTGCCTCATCAACGTCTGTCAGCAGAGCTGTTGAAATGTTGTGTAAGAGCTGTACAATGACAGCGATGTTTCCTGGTATCCGGGGAGACCGCTTAATGTTTTTAATCACACAAGACAAATCTTTTGGACACTTTTGCATCAACATATCTGTTATGGTCTCAGATTTTCCAGCATATTCATTTATTCTTATGGTTTCTCCAAATGGTTTAGCTAAATATGAGTCCTCCTAAGATACAGCCAAAACAAAGAAATTTTTAATATGTCATGTTTATGTTAAGAGTAAGAGTACTTTTACCAAAATTTACCAGGCTTATTGTACAATTGTGAATTGCATAATGATTTTCTGTTTTCCATTTCAAAGTCACATTTTGGGTAGAATAACTTGATCAATACCAAAGTAAATGAACCAAAAAAAAAAAAAATCCAATAGCCTACTCCTTAACCCCTCCTTCAAAACAGCAACTGTCATCTTTCACATTAGATTTTGGACAGCCTCTGTATATACATACTATGTGTACATCTGTGTGTGTGTGTGTGTGTGTGTGTGTGTGTGTGTGTGTGTGTGGAGAGACAGAGAGAGAGAGAGAGAGACAGACAGACAGACAGACTAGATTTCTAGTGAAATTTAAGCTTATTATTACTATTCCCCAAAACCAAAGTCTGAGACATGACTATAACTGAACTAGATTGAACAAAACTATTAGGACACTGAGGTACAAGAATGCAAGAATGTCTAAAAACAGTGAAAGCCGGTATTTCTCATTGATTCAGGTTCTGGGTCCCATGCTTTATGGTAGAAATGGTAAACTATGGCCCCTAGGTAACTGTCTTTTTTTTTTTTTTTTGGTTTGTTTGGTTTTTTTGCTTTTTATCTTTTGTGAATAAAACTTTATTGGAACTCCACTGGCTTATTCACTTAAGTATTGTCTATGGCTGCTTTCACACTATAATGGAAGAGCTGTATAGCAGTAACAGAGAACATGTGACCCACAAAACCGACATTATTCACTGTCTGGCCCTTTACAGGAAAGTTGGCTGACCTTGCTCGAAAGGACCTCCAGCCTACCCTTTCACAGGAAGAGGAGTCTATGGATCTAGAAGACATGCCAATGCAGAGCCCTTCGTCCTGCTAGAGACATGTAAATTCCCTACTCAACACTCCAGGTCCACTTCTAGGGCCTGGAAGGGCTTCTTCCTCAAAACTAGATGACACCACCATCCTAGGGATGTAAGAGGTTAAGAGGCACTGTTTTCAGGGTTATAGATGCATGACCTTGGCTGTACACTGCCCTTGAGGAATAGAATGGAATCTGGGATGGAAGCAGACAGGTTATATCTTATTTAGCAATTTTTAAGTTAAAAACATTTAAATATTAAGACATATGGTGTGTGGGTCTGCACATACATCTTTTCTCAATCTCCCCAGATGTTAGAACTGGGCAGCCTCTTGAAGTCTGATCAGAGACTTCTGGTCTAATACCCACTAAATACTCCCTAGAGATGTGCACAAACACAACAGCAACAACAAAGGAATGTTCCTAAAACAAAAGAAAAGCTAAAGCAGAGACTCCTCTGAAGGAACCAGGAGCTGATTTACCTGCACAATAGTAAAGCCCCTGCCAGAAAAGGAGAAAAAGAAGCAAAGGAGAAGAAATAGCATTTGACTTGAGTTTATTAGACTTTAATTAAAAAGCTACCTAATTACTTAAGTATATATGAAAATGTCCGTTTGATGACAAAGTCATTCCCTTTAGGCCAGCTGGCTTCTTACATTTGAACAACAACAGAAATCACCTGTGGATCTTGCTAGACAATAGATTCTGATTTAGCAGGCCAAGGTGGGGCCCAAATTCCACATGTCTAAAAAGTTTCCAGGGCTGCTGTCAGTGGGTGAAGGATGCCTTGTGAATCAGAGCTTTGGGGTATTAAAGTGCTAACTGAGCAGTTTTCAGTGACAACTGTGGCACCCATTGGAGCTCTAACCTAAATGAGCAGGTTCCTTCATGTCAAGAAAGGGTGTGAGGAACTGAAGCACAAATGCCCAAAATTAAGAGAGTAGAGATATGTAGGTATTTACGTATTAACAAACAACCTATTACCACCCTGCCTCATGTTCGTCTTCCCCCTAATTTAAGCCCAATATGAATTGCTAATTCAAGGTTCCACTTTTTACAGAGAGCCCACAAAAGAATCCATGTTATGAGAGACAGGATATTACCTCAAAGATGTTGAAGGCATTAAGAGTCCGGCAGGTATCAGTAACTTTGTACCATTTGTTTTTCCTGCATGAAAATCCCATATTTCCCTCAGTACCTGGAGGACAAGGTTGGTTGCAATGGGAATTGTCCATACAGACATAATCACATACACCTGGGAGAAAAAAAAGATGTCCATATCAGAAAGCTCTGAGATCAAAGTTATGCTGGGCCAATCACCAAGGTGTCCCTGAAGTAAAGGCACATAAATCTGGTGGATGTCAGGTATCTTTTCTTGGTAAAATGGCAGAAGATTAAAATGAATCAGTGGGTATCACATATTTCAGCAACAAAATCCTATCGTGTCTGATAGAATCTTATCCTGAACTCCAATATATAAAACATATAAAAGTGGAATTGCCCCAGTTAAATTGGGCCAGAAGAGTCCACAGCTTAGCCCACTGGGTCACTCTCCTGTGCCCACAGAAACCCCTGGGCAACTCCTCAGATTGCTAAAGCTTTCCAGATCAGCTCATTTGGAATCCACTGTCCCTGATGTTCCCAGAGAAGCCCTTCAGTTCTAGAAACTTATAGTGTGTCACATCATCAATGAGCTTTTACGGATCCCTTTTAGCCACCTCCCTAGTTTGAGTCCACTCAATACAAAAGATCTGTGGCAAAGAAGTCTCCGGCCAGGATGGAGCAGGGAATGCTGGGAGGAAAGAGGAACACACCTGTGGTCAAAGGCACATTTTAACACAAGGGGAAAAAAAAAAAAACAGAGTCCAAATACAAGCTACCAAGATGTCCCATCTGCTATGCCATGTGACAGAGGACTGAGAATGGCCTTCTGTTACAATATAGGAACAGTCAGCCTTCCATGTGATTAGGAACTGCTGCCAACATACCATGTGGCCTGGCAGGTACCTTCTCCGTGTTTTTGTTGGCAGCCTAGACAGAAAAATAAAAATATTCATGTCAAAATCAGTTGTTGATATGTAATCCCAATGGTTCATTTTAGTCACAGATGAAAAACTATGTCTGAATCAGCTGTGAGGCCAGTGTGGCCACTGAAATCATACTTCAGAGCTGTGAAGTATGGCCCGTGGCCCCATTTTCCCCTCAGCCCTCCTTCCCATTGCACGTAGCAGGCGTCCACCTCTGTCTCCAGTAAGAACAGTCCACACTCTGTCCACAAAACACATTGTGGACAGAGGTGGATTTACAGAGAAATTAATGAAGGTTCACTTTGCTTCTAGAGGCCCCTTTGAATTCTAGGAACACAGGACTGAATATCCTTGAAATCATGGATGTGATATGGCTTATTTTATAGGCAAGAGAATAAAGTCTTATTACATAAGCAAAATAGCTAAAGTTCTTCCACTAAAAGAGTACTAAAATAATAGTCTTAAGAGTTCTGGAAGATTCTTTAGATCACCCAGCCCAACCCCCTTATTTTATAGATAAGAAAACCGAGGCCTTGCTAGATGAGGTGCCCTGCACAAGGCTATATAAGGAGTTCCTCTCATGGCTGAGACTAGGACTTTATATCTCCTTAGGGAACAGGTTTTTTTTTTTCAAAGAGCCAGCCCATGTCTACCTGCAACAGGCAGAGTAGGTATGTGGAAGGAAGCATAGGCTTCTCAAGGGGCCCCAAACCCATCCTGATAGAGCCATGTTCTTCAATACACTATGGGAAATGCAGTAGGAAGTCAACACTCTGGATGAGACTTGACCCATTAAACCAACTCCAGTGAAGTCACATCATATCAATCCGGTATGTGGGCAGAAGGCCATAGTATGAAGTTTGCAAATAGTTCTGGAAAACCGTCTTCTTAAATGAAGGACCTAATTCAATCCTTCCCAGCTATTTTCCAAAGCATGCCATATGTGACTCCTCTGATCATTTCATTTCTAGGGGGCATGCAGTGTGGATCACTTCAGCTTCAGATACCAACAATCCTCAACCTAATAACATAAAAAAGACAGTTGCAAATCGGCAGCCTGCTCAACTGGTTAGGCTGCCCCAGTATGAGGGCAAGTCAAGAGGGGGCAATTCCCAACTGTTCAGTGCCCAGAAACTTCTATAATAGAGGGAAAAAAGGACAAAATGTCCCTGATGAGGTGATCCCAGCAATCAAGAAAAACAAAGCCAACCTCCCATCCTCTGTCTACACTCCACATTCTGTCTGGTACAAAACTGTGGATTAGGGGCTAGGAATGTTGCTCAGCAGTGGAGTGCATGCCAAGCACATTAGAGCCCTGGGTTCAATCCTCAGCACCACATAAAATAAATAAAAATAAAGATACTGTGTTCAACTACAACTAAACAATAAATATTTAAAAAAATTTAAAAAGAAAACTGTGGATTAAAAAAATCAAATTAAGAAGGGAAATAGTACCATGTTGTGGGGTTGGAGTGCCTCCAGCGAAAAAGCTTCTAAAGGGTCTTTAATTTCTCCTGGAACCAGATATGCATTCTGTGTTGGCAGAAGGGAAGTCATGGAAAAGAGTCCCACCCACACTAGTTAAGGCAAACTACTTAGAAAGTAAATATTATTTGGAAAACTGCTAAAAAGAACTTTGAGTTTCCCCTGCTCCTCTCTCAAGAAGGCTTTACTAAAAAGGAACATATTAAAATGGAAATAGCAAGAAGCTGAGAATCTGAAGACAGATGTTCTCACCTTGGCCCTGTAGCTGAGCAGGGTGCATACCTCATGCAAATTACATTCTACAACACTGGCCTCAATCTCTCCATCTATAAAACAAGGGAGTGGAGCTTCACCTGTCAATCTCAGACCTGTGGTCAAATAATAATACTCTCTTCTCAAGATCTCAAGATGCTCAAAATATTTTTTTTCTCTCTCTCACACTTTCTTTCCACACCTTATTTTAAATAAGCAACTAATAGGGAAATTTAAATGACCTATGGTATGAAAGAAAATATTCCCGAGAGAGGCCCATTTTTGCTATTCATTATCAGTTTCCCAAAGAAGATGCTTTTGCCATTTTGACTAAGATGATGCACTACTGTGCCAATCCAGGTTTAGTTCCTGCCAACTAAATGCCAATTAATAACTCCCAGTCATGGTGGTAACTCCCACCACCTCTACATTTTCAAGAGCCTCTTAGGAAATAGCATCACCCTGATTATAAGCAAGCGAAAGGATATGGAAAGAAGTTTATTACCCTTCATTTCAATCTTATTGCATCTCAGAATAAAATGGGGAAAATAATTTGTAGCTACTGGCTGACATGGGTATTTGTTAACTGTAGCTGCAGTTTCTTCTGTCAGGGCTGTCACTCCATCATCATCCTCTCTAGCACATGGACTCTCAGGAAACTGAGAGCTGGTTGATGGATTCTGTTGTCCATTTACATTCCCCACCCATTTCCTCCACCTTTTCCCCTTTTCTTACCTGACTTAATATCTTACAGGACTCTGTGGGCAAAAGAAACACCAAACAGAAGAACAAAAGTGTACAAGTCATTGTCTTCCACACAGTTGAATTTCTTGCTTCTATAAAAATAAACAAAAGGGCAAAATATTGCAAATTGGAAGCTCTCATCATTCTATGCCACCGTAGACCATCAGCCTGTGAGACTGGGCTCCGTCTTCAGTGCTGTCCACTCAGAATTCTCTGCTCCAGAGGTGGTGACCCATCAACTTCACCAGGAGGCTACAGGTGTAAGCACCAGCCCACACGGGGAGGTACAGGCAATTGCTGATCGATCCCTCACCCTCTGCTACCAGCTTACAAGTCACACCTAACATGGGAATCTCTCCAAATGAAGCTGCTGCTTACCAGATTGCATCTCGCCTACGAGGTATAATAAATAACAGCCTGTGTTTGGGCAGCAGGAATGATGGTTCACTCTCTGGGTTCGGCAGGGCTGAGAAACGTGTAGGTGGCTATAGTGGAAGATGAGCTGGGGTTCCTATGGGTAAGCTCAGCCAAGATACATTTTTTGAAAGACAGTAAGCACCAAACTTGGCCTATTATCCCACCCTCCCCAGTAATTGTCATGGATAGGTAGTGATTTCTTCAAAACTAATCTGCTATTGTTATATTTACCAGAAATGATGTCAAAACGTAATGGATTTCTTGACACCAAGAATGCCTGGCAAGTGGTGGGAACATAATACATTCAATAAAGGAATAAGGAGGGAGGGAGATAGGGTGGAAGGAAGAAAAGAAGTGAAAGGGAGAAGGTGGGTGGAAAGAGCTGAGGATTTGTATCAGGATCTGAGTTCTATAAAGGATTCACCAAAGTTAAGAATGCGAATATTAAATTTTAATAATTTTAATATTTTCATCCTGAGCAAGGTCATCTGTGAAAGAGATTTGATGTCTTCATTCTCAAATAAAAGGGTTAAGAAGACGCGGATGTCATCACAAAATCTAGGAGCTATCAAAATGATTGATATTGGTTACTTGACCGTTTTTAGTCCAAAATAAATCTTTACCCAATTATGTGTAGTTCTATAGTAAACCATGTCATTATTTTAAAGTCTAGACAGCAACAATTTTTCAATCATGTTTCTTGCACTGAAATGTTAGTCTAGCCGAAATTCCACTGAAATTCAATAATTGTTTTAAAAATTTTGTATTGCCTATTTCAGCCTGGTTGCTAATACTATTTTCTGCAAAGTCTGTAGCTTTTACACAAAGGGGCAAAGGGAGTACATTATTGCTCATCACTTTTATGTGTCTTTGGTGGCAACAGAGATGGACACACAATTTCAAGTTAAGTGGTAGCTTTTTTCTATCTTTTATTCCAACTTGAGTCATTCAAAGACATGGAGACTCCATATAAAAACCATCCAAATGACCCATTAGAATCATTACCACAATGCAATTACTGCTTTGTGCAAAATCATCAAAACTAAAAAACTAGAAATATGTTGACATAATTCTCATACCACTTGATAATAAGTCCATACTTTTTTTGAATTAACTTTAATAATTTTCATCATATTCAATGTTCCTTCTCATGTCTAAAACAAATTTTATAAATTCTTTAAGAAAGAGACAACACACTTTCATAAAGCTAGTATTACTTGGCCCCAAAACTCAAGTAAATTAAAAAAAAAAAAAGTTGAGTAATTTATTCATTTCTGCAAATCAAGATGAAAATCATCTTGTTTGCTTAAAATTTTAGTGTGTTGTATTAAAATATAATCTTTACTACATTATCATTTTGCTTTAAAGTTGAAATATAATTAAGTTTAATGCTTTTCAAAATGTTTTTTGGTTATTACTAAAATTAAATATCTATGTATGACAAAGTAAGCACTCTTGAGTTTTATGTGGGAATGATCTTCATTAGACAGGAGCCACTCCTTTGTTAGATTTTGAAGTGCGACCTTTCTTATTTCAACAATGGTGACTCTAATTCTTAGTGACTTTTTAGCTTATTCTCAATTCTTTTGACTGAAAGGAAAATTTCCAAGAGTTAACATTTTTGTGTTTAGCTTATAAAACTGATTGCTTTTTAAATACAGTGGCATGTTTTAATCTAGGCTCAAATGAAAACAGTTTTCTTCCAGTTTTGTTGACATTAAGCCATAGTCATTAACTCCTTTTTCAGATCCACAGAAAATTCAGAAGAAGTAAAAGGGTATAGTGGCAAAATAGAAGCATGGCTCTAATATTTCGACCACATGGTGCTCCCCCCACCCAGAGCCTTCATGCCATTTTTTTTTTCTGAAAACCACTGGTATCCAACTGTTCCCATCTCCCTACCCCACTGGTATCCAACTGTTCCCATCTCCCTACCCCAGGTGGTTGGATTATAACTCTAAAAGAAGGGATAGTTGGAGTATAACTCTTGCCTCTCAAATAAATGCCTGAAATGTTGTCTTTGTGTAGCCTAAGCCAAAAACTTCATTAAAAACATGCATTTCAGAAAAGACTTATCTCTTAAGAACATAACCTAAAAAAATAAATAAAAAATACCTCATGTAATTCATACTTGCCCCACCCCACCCCACAATAAGCAATCACATCAGTACTAAAATTTCACAAGGGGAAATGTGCCAAGTACAACATGTACAATTTTTTTTAAAAAAAATAAAATATAGAAACTACTTCACTATCTCCTTCATTAAAAAAAAAAAAAATGGAACCACAGAGTATACTGATATATTGGCTAAATCTGCAAAGAGATAATATTTCCAATCCTCAAATCTAGATTACACTTTTCCCTTCTCTTGTCTGATTTACAAACCTTAAGAAGATGCTTAAGATGTTCATTTATGTGTTGATTTCACAAACAAAAATGGAACCCCTCATTGCCAAGCAATGTACTAGCAGTTAAAAATTAAACAACAACCAGGATGACTTCTTTCCCTCAGCCCCCACGGGAAAGTCACAGTGAAACCAGGCACAGCCTCAGGGCTGGGAACTCGGATGGGCTTGCTTCTTAGAGACCAACAGACCCTAAGGGGCAAAACTGGAGTAATTGACATGACAGGACGTATCTCAAAGTTCCAGATTCCGTAAATGATTCTCATTTTTGTTGGCAATTTAATTATATAAAATATCTCTTCCTATCTGTATCAAAATCCTCCACCCCAAAGCCATACAGTTGGCGGGCAACAGGCACAGCTCACTAACATGAAACAACAGGCAGAAAGAAAATGTGTGAATCACACGCTGGGACGTGTTTAATGCACGGCCCCTTCAGAAAAAAAGCATTTGCTTAATTAAAAAGTATAAGTGCGCACGCGCACACACAGGCCAATAAAGACAGGCAATTTTGTAGAGTCATTTTGAAAAAAAAAAAATCTTTTGCAAGTTGACCTCTCACATCTTGATTAACAACAACAAAAAAAAGAGAAAATATTGGGATAGTCATCACAAATCACATCAATCACAAAGGTAAACAAAACTCCAGACAGAACTTTAACTACCAACCAGGAACATTTCAATCACCAGTTTTGTCAGCTGATAGTCTGTGGCTACTACTTGCATAATTAGATTTTACAATTGTTGAGGTTTCAAATGATATTCCAAAAAGAACCATAAAAATTTGCCGGGCAGACTGTGGATATACACTTCAGATGATCTCAGGGGTGGAAGATTCCATAGCGTCCGTCATTAACCATCCCATCATGTCACCCTTGGTCAGTGACCAGGTGTACCTCCTGCCTGAGTGCAGTCATTGTGGAAGGGCAGAGGAGAGTAAAGCAAACAGTTATTTATTCTTTGTCAGAGGCCATGTGGATGTTAGCTCTTTTTAGGCCTTCAAACAATTCTGTGTTTCTGAAATGACTTCCAGAATTTTCCAATGTTAAGGAACTAAAAATTGACCCTGCCCAATTTTCAATTACCAGGCAGCATAGTTGGGATTTGAACCTAGGTTTATTATCTTTTAGGGTTTTTTCCAGAATATCATGTGACTTTTCTAAAATATGAAAGAGCTAATTTTTGTATGTATCTAATTCTTTCAGAGCATTTCACTATAACTTTCAAATTGATGTCATAATAATTTTATGAAGTAAGCAAAATAGATATCATTTTTTCCTTGTCTAACAGAGGGAAAATCATGGTTCAGATAGCAAGTGATTTGCCCAAGTTCATACTGCAAGTTATTGAAAGATCTAGATTCTTAGATAAGACTCTTAAATGAAATCATCCCTCAGTTTCTACAAGGGACTGGTGCCAAGACTTTCCATAGACACCAAAATATGAGGATTCTCAAGTCCCTTATATAAAATGACATAGTATTTGCCTATAACCTGTCCACATTCTCCCTTTTACCTTAAATCATTTCTAGATTTCTTAAAATAATTATTCCAATGGAAATGCTATATAAATAGCTGTTATATTATGTTAGAAAGAATGACAATAATGTTGTCTGTATGTGCTCAGTACAGATTGATCTGTAGTTGTTTGATCCACAGATGCAGAAGGCTGAGTGTACATTATTCTGTCTGTGTCTTCCTTCCTGTACTTGTTGAAAATAGCAAGTGTTGGTCATCATCTCTAGGAAGATGAATACCAGTAGTTTTGTGGGTTTCTTTTTTTAATTTCAGCTAAATGTATATTTTTTCAGGGATCTTCTAGAGGAAGCATCTCCAACAGTAGGAAGTAGAAGCACTGGCTCAGGTCGACAGGCTAAATGTTTGGAAGCAAGGATGATTTTTCATGCCCCAAATCACCCTCACAGTTAACCTACTCATAGATCTGGTGAGCCTTCAATTTTCTCCAGAATACCAGTTTGCTAAACCTTAAGTCATTTTCACTAGTTCCTCTGAGACTCAACCAGTTTCTCCAAACCTTTTTTGATTTGAATACCTTCCTCTTTATGTACCCATGTTGTACGCAGTGCCAACTCACATCTAGAATGTGAACAGTGAACAGGGACGAGCATGTGCAGATGACATCTATGCCAGGCACTTGGTCCAGGTGTGCCCTGAGAATCATCCACCTCATGAGTCACCACAAAATCAAAGAGAATTTCATCTGATAGTCAGATGCTGCCA